CCAGTACCGCTCCCAGTACCGCCCAGTGCAGCCCAGTTCAGCTCCCAGTACAGCCCAGTGCAGCCCCCAGTACAGCCCCCAGTACCTCCCAGTACCACTCCCAGTACAGCCCAGTACTGCTCCCAGTACAGACCAGTGCTGCCAGCATAGCCTAGTACAGCCCAGTGTGGCGTAGTGTGGCCAGCATAGCCCAGCACGGCCAGTGCAGCCCAGTATGGCCCAGTGCAGCCCAGTGCAGCCCAGCACAGCACAGTATGTCCCCAATATGGCCCAGTACAGCTCAGTGCAGCCCAGCACAGCACAGTATGGTCCAGTGCAGCCCAGTGCAGCTGGTACAGCCCAGTGCAGCCCAGCACAGTATGGTCCAATGCAGCCCAGTACAGCTCAGTGCAACCCAGCACAGCCCAGTATGGTCCAGTGCAGCACAGTAGGGCCCAGTGCAGCCCAGTAAGGCCCAGCACAGCCCAGTATGGTCCAGGGCAGCCCAGTGCAGCCCAGTATGGCCCAGTATGGCCCAGTGCAGCTCAGTAGGGCCCAGTGCAGCCCAGTATGGTCCAGTGCAGCCAGTATGGCCCAGTACAGCTCAGTGCAGCCCAGCACAGCACAGTATGGTCCAGTGCAGCCCAGTGCAGCTGGTACAGCCCAGTGCAGCCCAGCACAGTATGGTCCAATGCAGCCCAGTACAGCTCAGTGCAACCCAGCACAGCCCAGTATGGTCCAGTGCAGCACAGTAGGGCCCAGTGCAGCCCAGTAAGGCCCAGCACAGCCCAGTATGGTCCAGTGCAGCCCAGTGCAGCCCAGTATGGCCCAGTATGGCCCAGTGCAGCTCAGTAGGGCCCAGTGCAGCCCAGTATGGTCCAGTGCAGCCAGTATGGCCCAGTACAGCTCAGTGCAGCCCAGCACAGCACAGTATGGTCCAGTGCAGCCCAGTGCAGCTGGTACAGCCCAGTGCAGCCCAGCACAGCACAGCATGGCCCCAATGCAGCCCAGTACAGCTCAGTGCAACCCAGCACAGCACAGTATGGCCCAGTGCAGCCCAGTGCAGCCCAGTATGGTCCAGTGCAGCCCAATATGGCCCAGTATGGCCCAGTGCAGCTCAGTAGGGCCCAGTGCAGCCCAGTATGGTCCAGTGCAGCCAGTATGGCCCAGTACAGCTCAGTGCAGCCCAGCACAGCACAGTATGGTCCAGTGCAGCCCAGTGCAGCTGGTACAGCCCAGTGCAGCCCAGCACAGTATGGTCCAATGCAGCCCAGTACAGCTCAGTGCAACCCAGCACAGCACAGTATGGCCCAGTGCAGCCCAGTGCAGCCCAGTATGGTCCAGTGCAGCCCAATATGGCCCAGTATGGGGGGGTTTTTTGGGTTTTTTTTTTTGTTTGGTTTTGTTTTTTAAATCCAGAAGAGCGCGGCTGTCTGTGATCTTGGGGACTGAGTTACTAATTTGGTGCGGCCCCGGATGCCTTTGAATCCAGGTTTGCAACGCACAAACCAGCTTTCCCAGCGCACTGCGAAGCTTCGCATCACGTCAGTAGCGATCTGCTGAGTTTCCCAGGCCCTTGAGTGTCAGGAGAAAAATGTAAGCCTGTTTCCTGGTTGGCACACGGGCAATCCCAAGCGGCGCGGAGCCGGGCCCGGGTGCAGCCTTTCCTTCTCGGGGAGCAGAGCGGAGGCTGGAAGGAGCCACCTTTCTCCCCGGCTCCTTACCTTCGCTGAGCTTTCCGTTACCGAGCCCTTCCCGCGCTCCTGCCTCAGGCCGGAGATCCCACTTCTGGCCCATC